TCGGTAATTATTCATTTTGTTTATTATTGAATAATAGCTATTGCAATAAGCATATTTTGTGTTCGGGTGGTTTTGAATCACATGTGCATCTAATATACGAATATTCATCTGACGTGTATGCGGAAACCGTTTACATAAATATTCTACTACCTTGAATTTGCAAGATGATGAATAATACTCGAACGCACTCGGCTCGAAATGAGAACCTTGAATTTACCCTTAGGCAAACATGTATGTTAGCGCTGTGTTTAGCCTGACATGTAGGCGTGAGTGGCGCCTTCGCTGGCCGAAAGGCATCAGACTCCACTACGATGGAGCAACGCAGAGGGCGAAAATCACGCGACCTTGTCAGGCTACACCGTGTTATGTGATAGGAGCCAGCATTACTACGCCCTCTGTCGATAATAAAGTACGATTGTACCACATACATTAGACAACTTTAGGCGTGCAATAGTTTCTATAAGCTATGATGAAAAAAACTACGGAGTCCAGTGTCATGCCGATAGTTGAGGGTTATGTTACCTCGTGTATTTAGGCAATCGTATAGAGAATATCGCTTCCAGACGCTTCGTACCGTGCCGACCATACCCACTCCAGCCAGACGCTTCGTACCGTGCCGACCATACCCACTCCAGCCAGACGCTTCGTACCATGCCGACCACACCCACTCTAGCCAGACGCTTCGTACCGTGCCGACCATACCCACTCTAGCCAGACGCTTCGTACCGTGCCGACCATACCCACTCCAGCCAGACGCTTCGTACCGTGCCGACCATACCCACTCCAGCCAGACGCTTCGTACCGTGTCGACCACACCCACTCTAGCCAGACGCTTTGTACCGTGCCGACTGCATGAGTCAATTTATTGCATTGAGATCTGGGCCAAAAACGTAACGAAAAAAACGTGAATTTATAAAGAAATTAATTTGGCTACTAGTATTTATCTTTCAGCGCCAGAGGTTTCTAAATTTAATTTGACATTGATTTCATTGAACTGACGGTGTTGTTGGAATTATTGTCAATTCATTATACATTTTCCTATACACAAGCACACGTGTAAATCCTCACTGTGAGACCCCATCTTGTACTAGTCAATTTCCTCGATGGATTTGTCCCCCTTGATACCAGATCAGTTTGATTGTCAACTTCAAGTACAATGTTCACATACCATGGTTAATTAATAAGCTCAAAAGGGCACATACATTGCGAGTAAGTTAATATAATTTGTAATATGGATAAATGTATTAAATATCAGATGCTTGAAAACTGTTATGAGAGAGGTTACTTTTTCCATTACAGGGCTGTCACGTATGTGCATATTCTATGTAAAGAGAATATATGGTATTTAAAGCAGTAACACAGTGATAACGAGAAGACGTGTTCGCTTTTTGACTTCATATATTGCGTAGAATAAGCAAATGTTTTTATTCTTCAAGACAAAAAAGCTTCATATCCACCATTGAAGTTCTGGGTGAAATTTATTAACACTCTTTGAAATGTAATATATAATGCAATAAACGTTCATATTTAAAAATTCAAAATTTTAGAAACAAATTGTGCGTACATGAATATCATTAAGGTAACACTGGTATGTATGCATCCAGTATATGTCGACAAAACAACGAAACGTTTGTTCTTGTTGAGCTTTAAATATAAATAGATGACAATATATTTGTAATATAGCATATTAAACCGGTACGAGGTATTGTTTCAAGTAAGCTGGGCCATGTAATACATTTGGTACATTCTATTAAAATCTGCTCGGTTACAATGTACTCGTTGGTAGCAAATTTAATTGAAAAAAATTATACTTCGTTGATTATTGTGACTCATTTCTTCTTCTGTTCTTGGACACTTCTCCTATAATTGTACACGGCTTCACAATTTAGCAACCGTTTCATGTGTTCTACTGTGAAAACACATTATACAAATCTCGCTTCGGAAAGTTTTTTTTTTCATTACCGAATCACGCAAGGTATTCAAAATTTTATAATATGGATTTATTTTTTGTGTCCACTTAAAATTCCCAATGATAATCATTTTAGACATATATTTGGAGAGTTGTTTTTATAACAAAAATACGATTCTGTACTCGGACCACCTACACGCAAATTTATACTAATGACAGTTTAAAAACTATTCTACATGAATTGGATAGTCGGATACAGTTAGGTTTTTGTTGCTATGATAACATCAGCGAGCGACAATTGTATATTTTTGACTTTTACATCAACAAAACCATGTTGGCGAAGTAATTCACTCATTTCTTTAAAGGAACGATGTTTTCCACTCAAAAGAACCGTCATTATTAGTGACATTATGTGTGCTTCTGGGGGACCGCGTTTATCGTCATCCAGTAAGCGTTCTGCCACCAGAATTGATCCTCCTGACTCCAGGGACTTAAAAACACGCGACAAAATGATATGCACCTTGTCGTCAGGCCAGTCGTGAATTATATTGGACAGGATGAAGCAATCAGATGTGGGTAGGGTGTCTGTGAAGAAATCGCCGCTTTGAAATGTGACATTTGGAGATATCCACTCCGGTTTCTTCTCCTCCGTCATCTTGATCACTGGGGGCAGATCAAATATGGTGATCTTCATTTGAGGATACGCCACGCTCAGAGAATATGACACGTCTCCTGTACCACCGCCCAGGTCACACACTTTGCAATATGTGGACAGATCAAATGATTTGGATATGGGTGAACTGAACCAATTCATCGCAGTGGCCCTCATCCCGGCGAAGAATGCTTCGAACATAACCGGGTCGTCCCAAGGCGTTTTCTGAATTAGTGACTGTCCTATTTTTGCGACGGAATCAAGATCGTTCATGACATTGTTCAAATACCCAGCATTCATAAGAAGAGACAGGCAGTTTTTGTCGCTTGATGATGAGAGAAACTGATTGGTAACTTCTGTGTTTGTATACAGGTATTCACCTTCGGTTGGATCGCCCAAGTTTATCCATTTCTTATCTAGGTATCCAAGACACACCATATAATCTATGAGCTGCTCGGTGACTTTCCTATCAGTGCCAATCGCATCTGAAACCCCAGTCAAAGTAGCTGCCCCTCTTGTAAGGTAGTCGAATATGCCCAGTTTGGCTGTGGTTATCAGTGATTGGGTTGTCATGAACCCGTTGATATGGTGCCAAAGATCGAACACCGTAGCTGCCATGATGCTCCTACCTGTACAGTGTCAACTAGAAACCCATATATATATACCTAATCCTTAGTCAGTTAATGATTTTCCAAATAATTTGCAATTCATAAAAGTAATCCTGTCCTCAAGCTAACTTCCGTTTCTTAAAATATATTCAAACGCACACAGTCGTAAACATATAATTGCACACAAAGATTAATCGATGTGTATGAATCAGTGAAAGATATTATTTCAAAATCTGGGTCAACCTCACACGTGCCTTGTTCTATGCCAAGTATACACTGGCGCAGTCGGGCGATTAATTTGTTTTTGTAGTTTAAATAAAATAAAAAAAATCGCGAAATGGAGGTGTTCGCAGTTACACCTCTATTTCGCAATTTATTTAATTTTATTTAAAACAGAACGCACATCTGCTGCGTCGTTGTTGGCGTCCGCTACACTATGAATTTCAAAAATTTTACCAGAATGCGCGTTTTTATTTGATATATTGAAATCGACATTGTTCGATATTCGTGGATAATTATTGCCGCTATTTATTGGTCATGTAGAAATATATTAAATTGATTTGTGTCATTATCGGGAGACCGCATTTAGCGAATGAGTTAAAGGCAAATAACGGAAATAAACGAGTAAAGTGATATTATTAACTTAGTATGCAGGCAATCATACATGTACACTATTCATGTCTAATTTGTATGTATTTATGGCAAAGTGGGATAAGAAGCAATGTGTTTTTTAGCTAATTTGTCAATGCAATACTACAATTTTACAGTTTTTTTAGTTTATTTTGATATCAAATTATTTAAATAAGAATTCCCTTCTTATGTAATTCACAATCTTAGTGAATTTCATTCTCAGCTACTTTTTCATTTCATTTTTTACAAAATCTATTTTTTCTTACATGTGTGGTTTTCTTCTTCTATCTAATTCGATTTCCGAATTATGGTCACTCTTCTAAAATGTGTCATAATTCTTCTCATGTTGTAGTTTTTAATTCCATAGACTGTTTTAAATAATTGACATGTTCTTACTTTGTTTTCCCTCATTTTTATTAATTGTTCCTCAAGTTCCAGAAAAGTTTTTACTCATTTGTTAATTCATTGTCGATAGTTGTTATCTTGTGTGTCACATAAAGTTCTTGAAATTTTTTTCAAGATTTTTTTGTCAGTTTGTATTATTTTTAATGGTTCCTTTTAGCACACTTTGTAATGCATTTTTGTTCATGCGTAGATTAGTAATCGTTTTTTATGAACTAAGAGAGTCAGGGCATTGCTTCATATTTACGTATTAAACACTACGATATAGACTTTCCATTTTCCACATTGTGAAATTCTTTCGTTTTTTAGGAGAAAAAAAAACTGATTTTGACAAGATAATTCAGAAATTTATATTAAGAATAATTCATAATGAAATGTATTCCGTATACACCCATGAATAATTTTCACAATTACCGATTACACAAGAATATTACAGGAAAAAGATAATTTGCTTTTATTTGTCTTGAACTATGACTGAAAGAATCTGAATGAAATTACAAACTATGTAGTGTGTTCAACAACTCATCTATGAACAATAATTTTAATAAATATGATTTTACTTGGGACTTGGGACATAATAATCGAAATGACTACAATATTTGTTACAATATTTAGTTAATTATTCATACTCTCCAAGTGATATATAAATATATTCCTAAACCATATTTTCAACACTGTGTCGAATGGATTGAGAGCAAGCATTATGATTATATGGTATTATGATATTTGTGCAATGCTGGGTTATCCTGTTGTTGTTCTGGATGGACTCAACACAACACCAGAAATGCGATTATTTTGATTTCAGAAAAAATTGTGTTCAAGACAAGGACGACAAAGCAATGATTTAATTAGTCGGAATTCAGATTAAAAATAAAATAATTCTTTTGTGCACATTGATACACATCTGTGAGTGTGTTGAATAATCCCTGTGTGGAACAGAAGCGACACAATGTCATTTCCTGTGTGAAACAGAAGCGACACAATGTTATTTCCTGTGTGGAACAGAAGCGACACAATGTCATTTCCTGTGTGGAACAGAAGCGACACAAGGTCATTTTTCGCGTGGAGCAGAAGCGACATAATGTCATAATTGAATAAATTGTTGTTGAGAAATGTTGACTATTCTATCTGTAACAAATCCTGATGACACGTGCGATTTTGGGGCTTTGTTGAAGTCTTTGTTCAGTGTTTTTTGCCACGTTTTATAGTACATGTGTAATTTAAATATACTTTGTCATCTCGGTAGTGCTTGACGATAGTGGGGCTGTGCAACATGGTGAAATATGACGACAATAGGTTAAGCAGTGGGTGCATTCAAGTTTGTTTCGCGTTTTCGTTGTACTGCTGTTGAATTAGTCGCTAATCGTGCGATTAAATACAAGTAGCTCTGAGGACATATTGACCATATCACATGATTAAATGATGAAATACATGATGACAACAATCAATAACACTTTTTAGCTCTGTTTTCTTCGAAAGCAATTGTATGTCGACGAATGTCGTCTTTCCTCGATCCGTCAACAATTACAATTTCCACTTTTTCTTAAAAATTGCTAGCCTATGTTGGTACCTTAAGTAGACTTATGTCAGATATTTGATCATTTCACGATGACATACTCAATTCTCTATTTCAGTACTTGGTATGTAGGCACCTTTGGTGAATCTCTGAGATTTGTAGCCAGATGATAGTAGTTTTAATTGCCATGGCAATAACCATATAAACTACCAAGATGATATGGCGATGGAAGAATAACTATTGCAAATATTTCATAAGAACACTGACAGCGCAGTTATTTTGACCTTGAGTTCGCTTGTTAAACTTCGATATGTGAACAATATTAACGATTCACTGGATCGAATAAGTCATAATTTATGAAACAAATAAATTGACAGCTCTCCATTTATGAACGCATGTAGCCAAACCGTGAGTCCCGTAAATTAAAATTCGCCCTAAAACTAATTTTTCATTACAACTCACACTAACACTAACTGCATGCATTAGAGACGCATTGTAACCTTCAACGAGTGAGTTCTAAATATTGCCAAGTTTGGGATAGGGAAAATAAGAGATATAACATCATTTCACTAGTACCTTTAATATCTAATGGTTTTCTTGTTAACGCAATTAGTCCTCTAGGTTTTATCTAAGGCTCGATGAATGATTTCAATGTAACCCGCTATGAAAACTAAAACAAACACTTATATTCATATTTCTAAACAATCGTCTATCTCAATGACAGATATAATCACATTTTATTTTTGATTTAATTGGCCATTTTTTTCATTGATACATTGTTTCTTGTTAGCGAAGTTCAGCAAAGAATATGCGATAAGACTGTTACTGTTCAGCTTTAATAAAACAGGCTTACCTTGAATTCAATAATACTCAATTGACCACGACGGAGTGTTCAAATTAAGACTTCATGTTATTCATTCATGCATTTAATAGACATACAGAAATAAACTACACACAAAAGATGTCACATGGAATATATCATCCTAAATAAAAATAAATGTGTCTACACGGCTAATAATAAGTCAAAAGAGGAACGTTTTACACCTGATTGGCTATGACAGCACGCTAACACTTCGTCACGTAGTTCTGTAACGAAATCGCTCGGCATAATTGCATGTAACTATATTTTCCATTCTGCTAATTTAAGCGACATTTCTTTCTAGTGTGTAGTTTTAATGATAAATTTTGAAATAAAGTGGACCAAAAACGCGCGTGCGTCGATTTTGTAAAACGAATTGACCACAATTGTGTCTGGGCCTTCATTCACCTTGTAGCCATTTAAAAAATAATTTAAAAACTGCCCACCCAAGACGATGTTGCATATTAAATATGAAGATGTACAATACACAAAAAAATCAATTTGGGGGTTGTTGTATTGAACGCATTGGAGAAGAAATGATCCAAAACTATGCAAATGAGATGTAAACAAATTGTTTTCCTGCAAACAATTTGTAAATAACAAATTTTCCCAGCATTATTTTATTTTTCAATTTTCTCTCTCTGAATTTACCTCCACAAAACCACCCACCCCACCCCTTATGGCCATCTCTTACTAGGTTTCATGCATTTCAGTTTTAAGAACTAGTATAATATCCAACTATCCTTTGCGTCATGTTTATGTAAATGATTCCCTTCTCCAATGACACCTGAAATAGCGATCTAGTGAAGCGCCATCTGTGGTGACTACTATGGGTGTTATATAAACGAAATAAACTGTTTGTTATTATATAGGTGGCGGTAATTCCAGAGGTACAAAATGGCGGCACTTTGAAAGTTCACAAATAACAAGAGTAAAATGGTGAGTTTTTTCTCTGTTTTGTGAGAACTAATGAAAGATTTAGTGGAATTTAGTTTTCAAGTAGTTTACAAATGTGACAGACAGACACGGTGACAAAATTACTGACTAAATTTCAGGTGAATGTATGATTGTTTTAGTCTCCGTCACAACATTGAATTTTCGCAAGGCAAAAAAGTAACATTTCGAAGGATTTGATCCTACATTTGCTGAATGGTTTTCTTAGTAACTGCCCAACGACTCGATTTCTTTTTAAGTCGATTTGTAAAAAGCCTGGTTTACAGGTGTTATTTATACCGGTGATCAGCACAGTGAGTGAACAGTGACCACGTAGGTGTCTGACGACCTTTAGCTCGTCTGGTTGATTCTATGGGGCGGAACCACAGTCACTTGGGGGCTGAAAATCAATAAATACTAATTTTCAATAAAAATCATCCGCTATACGTATATAAATAAACAAGTTGTGAAACACGGCACCGAGTAAATCGACACCCTGTCGGTTTCAAATGTCGATTTCTTACCTTAAAATGCGAAACAAAAAGTGCAGAGGGGGTCAGGTGTTATGTTAATAACCATTGTTCATAATCGCTAACTTGGTTTTATTCAAAACTGCACAAATCGCGAGTTTTCTGGTGATATCCGACAATTTCATGATCAAAAATGGCCAGCAGCCAGAATCAAGGGGGATTCGCACAGAGTTCTGGGTAAATCAAGTGCGCATACTCATTTTCAGCCAA